TCCAAATTTTTATTTGTTCAAATTATTTTTTAAAAGTATTTCCATTAAATCGATTTTCTATATTACAAAATTTTTACGCATAACTGAATATTTACGAATTTCTATTTGACCGAATTTTCATTTGTCAGAATTTGTAATTTCTAATTTGAACAAATAAAATTTTTTGTCAAATGAAAATTCGATCAAATAAAAATTCTGTTCAATGAATTTTCGGTTAAGGAAAAAAATTATGTCTCAAGTAAAAAATTAAATTCAAAAATACAGAATTTTTTTTTATTTTTCGATGTATGGTACGTTTGACGAATTTCTACCAATATATATTGTATACAAATGCATAAATGCAAACGTACTTAACTATTGAAAAAAAAATAGGGACAAAAGAAACAAACGTTTTGCATTAATCCAAAGATTTTTTATACATAAACGTATACACAAATGTAAAGTAGGGCAATTTTTTCATTCCCAAACGGAATGTGCAATAACTTTTGAATCATACAATGTTGCACAATGTGCTTTTCGACAGCTGACTAAAAAAAATTACTGTCTTGTGTCTTTATATAAAAATTTTTTTTTTCATTACTGAAAAGCGTCGTTTCAGAAAAGGCCTACACATTTTTTTTTAGCAATACCAAACACATATCATTCACCGTACATTCGTCAGTGGACCAAAACAGTTTAAGATTTAATCTTCATATCAAAAAATATTTTAATTTTTCCACCGGTTTTCTTTATTTAAAATTTTTTAATTTTTTATTTTTAATTAAAATTTTTAATTAATTACAAATTTCTTTTAATTTAATATAAAAATAGTTTAATATTCAAAGTATTTTTTTTAAAAAACATAAAGTGCAATAGAAAATAAACTTGGAAATATATTTCTGATGAAAAGTAATTTTTAATGAAAAAAATGCAAAATAAATCCGCTAAAATAAAATAACTTTGGACGACGCGAGCTTTCAGGATATCAGAAAATGCATTAGAGGCAATTTCTATCTAATTGATGACATTCCTATGCGTTGTATATGGTCCTTAAAATGGTAATTTCGAAACCTCGATTTCCATTACGAAAATCTATTATGAATCACATTCTGTGGCTATATAATATAATCAATTGTCCAGAAAACGGAAATTTCTATTGAATTGATTTTAATATTAAAAAGAAACAAAATAACAAATAATCGTCAATATTAAATTTAATTTTTTTATTTTATTACCAAATAAAACTAAAATTAAAATTAATTTGACAAAATTTTGAAAGATCCAGTTGTACATTTTTCGAGAAAAATTATTTTCAATCTAAATTTATAGTTTAAATAATAAATAACTATTTGCCTTTTTTTGTTTAAAGTTTAGTAAAAAATTATAATTTTTATCCAAATTTTTACAAATAGTTCAGTTTGTTATTTGAAATCTCTACAAATTTGTTTGTTAAATTTTGTTAAAAAATTATTGAACAAATCAAATTTTTGTTTCTTATAATTTTACAACCAAATATTATTTAACAAAAATAAATAAAAAGAGAAAATCTTTAAAAAATAAAAATTGTAAATATTTGTAAAAATTAGACAAAAATTGTAATACTAACTTTAAATTTAAAAAAACACAAAAATATAAATAATTATAATTTAACAATAAATTTTGACTTAAAATAATTTCTTTCAAAAATTATACAACTGAATCCTTCAAAATTTAGAAAAATTATTTTCAATTCTAGTTTTATAATTGATAATAAAATCAATTTTTAATTTTAGGTTATGTCAAACGGCTGGAACCGTCTTAAATTGAATTTAATCATTGATTGATCAAAAAAAAATTAATCCATTAATTCAATAATATATTAAATTTTAATTTTTTTTTACAAAAATAAAAAAAAACCCCACATGGAACTCTTTTTGATGATCCGATGATATGAAAAAAAACTGCTTGAGTCCACTGTTACGAATTGTGATACCGAAAAAATGAGAAATTTTCTACTTATGAAAATGAAGGAGAATTTGATTTTCTTTTTTTTTGACAGAGAAAATTCTTTAATTTACCTCGAGCATTTACATATTATAGAAAATTCAACTTCTCTTTGACGATTTATGAAAACCAGGAATTTCCTGGACAATGTGCAATGATCCTTGCAAAATGAGGTGCGAGCCAAGTGCATATTTAAATGTAAGTATGTACATGATGGGATGAACATGTCATATATATATATATTGTATAAAATGCGCATGTCATATATTCTGATGTGCCAAGTGAGTAAAGACAAAATGAAATTTAAAATATTAAAAATCTCAAGTTCACTGAACTTTTCATGATTCATGAGAAATTTTTGTTCGTGTAATAGAATTAAAATGAAAAGAAAAAATAATTATAATCAAGTTCCTTGTGCCACTCTCGAGATATTTAAACAAAAATAAATCACTAATTTTAATTACATTTCCGTCTTATTTTTGTAGAAAAAAAATCTTGATCCAAAATGATTCTGACAATAAATAAGATAATTTGATGTAAATTAAATATACGGAATGTTCTAAAAATCATTAGTTAGAATTTTCATTTTATGAAATTTCATTTGTCATAATTATTTTTGAGCTGAATTTTTATTTGTTCGAATTAGTATTTTGCAGAATTCTCATCAAACCGATTTTCTATATTACAGAATTTTTACATATCCGAAAATTCACTTCACAGAATTTTTATTTGTCAGAATTTTTATTGGATAGAATTTTCTTTCAGATGAATTTTCATTTGTTCGAGGTATTATTTGATATAATTTTCATATAACCGTAATTTTTATATTTTCATTTTTCAAAAGACCTTTTTCACCCTCAGTCGGTAAAGTAGATTTCTATGTCGGTAAATTTTTATTTGTCAAAAAAATTCACCATCCGTCGGTAAGGTAGATTTCTGTGTCGGTAATTTTTTAAACGAAAAATCATTTAACAGAATAATTTCTAATTGATAGAATTTTTATTTGTCCGAAATTGCAAATGGTCGAACAAACAATCGACAGTAAGATTTCGGAGCGATTTTTAAAATCAACCAATCACAATTTTATGAATAATTTTTCATTGGTTGATTTTAAAAATTCCGAAATCTTTCTGTCGATTGTTTTTTCGGACAAGTAAAAATTCTATCAATCAGAAATTCTGTTAAATGATTTTCCGTTTAAAAAATTACCGACACAGAAATCTACCTTACCGACTGATAGTGAATTTTTTTTTTGAAAATAAAAAATTTACCGACATAGAAACCTACCTTACTGACTGATGGTAAAAAAAGGTTTTTTGAAAAATGAAAATATAAAAATTACGGTTATATGGAAATTATATCAAATAATAATTCGAACAAATGAAAATTCTATGCAATGAAATTCTACCCAATAAAATTTCTTTAAAATATATCTATTATGTTAAATAAAAATTCGAGCAAATAAAAATTCTTTGAAGTGAATTTTTGGTTATATAAAAATTCTGTAATATAGAAAATCGTTTTGATGAAAATTCTGTAAAATACTAATTCGAACAAATAAAAATTCGGCTCAAAAATAATTATGACAAATGAAATTTGATAAAATGAAAATTCTAACTAATGATATTTAGAACATAATTATGCGTCCCATTTACACTTCCACTAATTTTAATTTTCACTCTCATTTTGACTTTCACTGCTTCTCATTTTCCATTATTATTTATTTTTATTTTCACTTTCAATGATTCTCATTTCTTTTTAGAAAAATTTTTGTGCAGTTTTGATACTGACGCTTCTAATTTTTACATCCACTGATTTTTTATTTCATTTCTGTTTCCACTGATTCAAATTTGCACTTCCGCTTTCATTTCCTCTTCCACAGATTTGAAATTAGTGAAAGTGAAAATAAAATTGATAGCGAGAATAAGAATTAGTGGAATTAAAAATGAAAGAAAAAAAATAAAATTGCGAAATATTGGAAGTGGATACTGATTCTAGTTTTTTTTACTTCTGCTTTCACAGATTATAATTTTCACTCTCATTTTTACTTTCACTGTCACTTCCTTGTCCACTAATTATAATTTTCACTTTCACTTCCACTGATTCTAATTGTCACTTTCACTAATTTCTAATGAGCGAAAGAAGAAATGAAAGTCAAACTGTAAATGAGAATCAGTGGAAGTAAAAGCAAAAATAAAAGTAAAAATCAAAATCAGTGAAAATGAAAATAAAATTGAAAAATGAAATCAATGGAAGTGAAAATAAAAGTAAAATTAGAATCAATAAAAAATACGTTAGCATAAAAGTTTACTTAAAAAAAAAAATGTTTTTGGAGTTCAAGATTTTTTCTCTACCATTTTTCCAATTGAGAACTTAAAAAATAAATTCCATATATTTTAAAATTTCATCAATTTCTATTTAAAAAAGATTCAAGATTAAAAAAAAATATAAATATTAAAAAAAAATTCACATATATATGTTTGATTTAAGAAACTCCGTCAATTTAGATTTCAAATGGATGTGAATGGAAAATATTTACGAGTTTTACAATATAAGCTCCGCAAGTGCGGATATTGTGTATTGAAAAGAGATGGATTCTCGATGAGAATCGACAGTTTACAGAAAATGGAGATAAAGCATATAGCACGGCTGATTTTACGGTTTTTGCTATATAAAGAGAGTGGCATGAAGAGTGTAGTGTGATATATATATGTTTTGCAATCTATGGTGATGCATGTTTGGATGGATAGATTAATAGGAGGGTTTATATATATATATATATATATATATATCTCTGCCTGCTCCAGCTAACTCTCTCCATCTCTTCCTACTTTGATGCAAAATAGTACACTACGATTTCCATATTCGCATATGTACCGCTCGAATAGACGATTTTAGAGAATATGTTAATTGTCACACTTGAGAAGGCAGAGAGGGTTAAAAGGTACACAAATGAATAAGAAGTGAATACAGAATTTGTCCTAGTCGATGAAACGCTGAAGAGGGCCGGAGGTACTTACCCTGTGTATCATACTTACTGGAAAAGTTCCGCGTTGCTATCATCGTTGTCAGAATGGCGCCCTGTTGAAAATAATAAAAATTGTCAATTAAAATTATTTCAATATTAATTATTCAGTTTTATAAATTAATTTACAATTTCAAAGACATTTCAAGGGCTTTTAATTAATATAGAGGGATAGTGACGATGCTCAAATACGCAACGTTTATAATAAACGATTTTTAAAGAAATAATTTATTAGAATGAAAAATTTTTAATTTTTGTCTGAAAAATGTTTTTTTGTTTATTTTTTTTATTTATAGTGTATATAAGGATATTTTCAATAATCACTGAATTAGGTCATAACAAATTGTAGAAAATAAAATTTTAAATATCATTATAACATTATTGTTGAAATAGCGCAGAGAAATAAATTAAATATTCAATAAATTGTTATTATTATTATGAGAGGCAAAATTAATAACAATGTAAATTACAAAAAAAAAAAAAAAAAAAACAATTTTAATGAGGATGGTGACAATAACATAACCTTTAAAAATAGTTTTTAACGCAAACAACTATTAACAAATAAATATTTATTTGTATTAAATAATTATTATTTCAGTCAATTAAATTATATTTGCTTCAAATACAGAAATTATTGATTCACATACAATTTATTTAATTCAATAATTTTTGTATTTGAAACAAATACTATGTAATTGACTCAAATAATAATTATTTTATACAAATAAATATTTATTCGATGATCTATTTGAGTCAAATAAATATTTCATTCAATATTATAATTAACGAATATAAAGTTCAAAATTTTTTTTGAAAATGTAAAATTTTTCATATAAATTCCTCAACTTTAAGGACAAATCTATCACTAATATAAACGAAAATATTTTTCTTGCAACATTACAACGAAATCAAATTGAAATGCTCTTCAAATGACATCATTTATGATTAGAATTAATAGAAAATTGACATAGCTATTAAATTTTAATTTTCAAAGTCATAGTACTTTAAGTCTGATCCCGTACAAATATACTAAAACACATAAAATCAATTTCATTTTTTTTTTTTTTTTTCGAAAAATATTTCTCCAAAATATTGTCTCTTAACCTCAGGAATTGTGGCCTCATTCTGCCTGCAAAAGATGAGTTTGTTTATCAATGCCTTCATGTCGATATATTGCCAAGAAATGTCACGAGTCTTCAGTGTAGAAAATCAATTTTGAATTTAACATTCAATTGAAGGGAGATTTTTTTTTCATTCTGTTCAAGAGCGTCAGTTATCATTTTTTTTTTAAATTCAACAACATGGCTTTTTCAAACCATAATCACAACTATAGTTTGTTATTTTCAAAGAATGAAAGAAAATTTTAAGTTTATTACTCGGTTATCTTTAAAATAATAAATTGTGATGATAAAGATCACTTTGAGACAAAAAAAAAATATTAAAACAACAAAATTTCTGTTTTCTACTAATGAAAATTTAAGGCCAATTTTTTTACAACTATTTGTCAATTTATTAATAAAAAAAAAGAATAAAATTAAATTTTGATAAATGAAAATTCTATCATTTAAAATTCTGTTGAATGAGAATTCGATTAAATTTTAAATCTAAATAAATAAATAAATTCGAATTTTTCAAATTAAAATGTTGGTAAATAGAAATTCTGTAAAATTAAAAATTCTTTCGAAGAAAAATTCGATACCTAAAAATTTTATTAAGTAAAAATTAGTTCAAAAAGAAATTCTGTCAAATGCTAATTCGAAAAATGCAAATTCGTCTAAAAATGAAATTTATTAAAAGAAAATATTTTAGATAACAAAAATTGTTGCAATAAAATACACTTCTTTTTATTTAAGTAGTAAAAAAAGAAATTAAAAAAAATGAAGGGTTAAAACGTTAAATTACAATTATTACAGATAAAACTCCATAAAGAGAGTCGTATTAGTCACGATTAGACACGTAAGAAAATTATTAACTCAAATAAGATTAGAAATTATGAATAGTTTTCTTCGCTAAAGAAATGAGTACAATATTTACTTTATTTTTCAAAAAAAATATAAAAAGTTAAAAGATAGTTTAACTGGTTTTATTTTTAAAAGTTTTTACCATCGAAATTATAATTAAACAAATTTTTATGACAATGACAACAACATTAACTCAAAGTGATCGTTATCTTCACATTTTATTATTTTTTATTTTCAAAGAAGTTTTAATTCAATAAAAAAATTTTTTTATTTTAAATTTCCTTCAAAACGTTTTTGTTCATAAAAACAAAAAAATTCTGTTTCCAAATATCAATTATCTTTTCTTGCTACTCAAGATCGCAAATATTAATTAAGTAAAAAGTGTATCGTTAAATTTATAACAAAAAAAAAAAAAAAAAAAAAAAAAAAATTCGAAACATATCATAATTTTTAATTAGTTAAAATATTTAAATAATTTTATAGTTGTAATTATATTCGTTTTAAATTTTTCTCGATTTTAATAATAAAATTACCAATGTTTTTATTTTTAATTTCGAAACTATGATATAAATATTTTTAATTTTTTTAAAATTCTTTTGGTAAAAATAATTGCGTAACGTAATGGAAGTTTAGAGATAATTGTTTTGTGAGATATTTAAGAGATTATAAGAAATTGAAATTGTTGCACGAAAGTGATTTAGATCTTGAAACGCGTCACTTTCTCGTGTTGTTCGTGTCACAACAAGAATTCGAGACCAACTGACTTGTGACAATAATATTGTGTCCACAATCAGTGACAGTGACGTCTTAAAGAAGGGACACCATGATTTTACTCAATAAATCTGGATTTCCAAAAATAATCGTTTCAATCTTCATCATTTCAAAAACAAAGAGAAAATTCAAAATTTTATTATTAGAGACCAAGTTTCAACTCATTTTAATTTCAGTAAACTGGAATCTCAAATAATTTTGAAGAATTTGTAAAAAAATTATTTTTTTACACTAATTAAAAACAATTATTACTATTATCAGTAATAATTACAATTATTAATCAAAATTATATGTAATTTCAAATTTTTCGCCTATTTAGTGTAGAGGAGCGAAAATTAAAAAGATATAAATTAAATGAAATTAATTTTTGTAAACATGATGAAAATTTTTTGTTTGCTACATTTATATGTTATGATTTTTTTTTTCTATATATCCTTGAATTTTATGTCCCTGTGAGGAGAAATATATATTTTTGAGTTGAGACCATATTTGACATTAATATGAAGGAGCAGAGAGTCTGCGAGGCCAGGGTTCACGGTCGAGATGTACAATATAGATGCAAATTTCATGAACTCACAACTCAATAAATAATACATTGATTTTAAACAAGCGACAGATGAGAAAAATAATTTCTGGTCAAAGTTTTATTTTTAGAATGCAACTCTTGAGAAATTAGAAAAAAAAAGGTACCGAAAAAAATTATCTTTTGGTTTTTCATTCATAATAATTTCTTAATCACTAACGATAAATAAAAAGGGTTGACACAAAGATTTCATTATAATTTTTCCTGATTTCGAGACAATATTTTGTGTTTTTTCCTTGAAATTTTTGAATTTTTTTCTTTTCTATTAAAAGTGATTTTATTTTTAAAAAATTGTGATAAATGAAAATTTGACCAAAGGAAAATTATTTTGAACAAACATTGTATAAAGAACAATTCAAATTTATAAAAAAAATTCAATTACATATTTTCAAAAGTTTTTATAAAATTCTTAGTAAAAAATTCAATTATTTTCAAAGCTTTCAATCAAATTTTAATTTTACGTAATTTCAATTATTAAACAATTCTTTTAATTTAATATATTCAAAAACTCAATATGTTCAAAAATTCAATTATTTTCAAAAATATAATTTAAATTATTATTATTTAAAAAAAAACTTTATTATTTCATAATTTTTAATAAATTATTCGATAATTGAATTATATTTGAAATTTTTATAAACTCTTTCAATATTCAATTATAATATCAAAAAAATTTAATTACAGATTTTCGAGATATCAATTATTTTCAAAAATTTAACAAAATTTAATCATTAGCAAAAAATTTAACTGCCAAACTTCGAAAATGTAATTAATAAAAAAAATTTTAACAAAAACTCTTCGAAATATCAATTATTTGCAAAAATTTTTAAATCAAAATTCTCTAAAACTCAATTATTGTCAAAAATTAAAAAAAAAAATTTCAGCAATTCAAATTAACAAAAATTCCAAATTAAAATCTTCTGTAATTCAATTAAGCCTAAGAATCTTAAAAGAAACTATTCGAAAATTTAACTATTTATAAAGTTTTATCTAAAATTCTTCGCCAAATCAATCATTTTTAATAAATTTTTAAAAATTTAATTATTAAGGTTAGCCACTAAAAGCGAACAAAATTCAAGGCTTTTTCACGGTTATTCCTAGTTTTAAAAAAACAATTCTTACTTTATTAAAATTCTAATGTGAAAATTCTTAAGGATACTTTGTTCTACTTGATTTCCGATCAGAAATTATTCATTATTTTGGGAAATATAAATACTTCAGAAAAAAGGTAACAGAGAGAATTTTTAAAGTTTTCCTAATACTGTCTTGCACAATTTTTGATTTTTATAATTCGTATTTTTTTTAATCAAACTTGTTTTCACAAATTCTTAGGCAAATTTTCATTTTTTCAAGAAAAACAAGGCAGACTAAAAATTTAGAACAATTCATCGCAAGTTTCAATTTAAAAGAAAATTAAAGTGCGAATTTATGAAAAAATTTCAAGATTGAATTAAAAATTCAAGGCGTAACTAAATTAACGTTGTTTCTCTGGTTTTCAAGGTCAAATTTTGAATCAGAAATTTTCAAAAATTTAATTATTCTTTGAAATTAAAAAAAAAATTCAGGACTATGAATTTACAAAAAAATTTCAATTTAAAATCGCCTGAAATTCAATTATTTCTAAAAACATAACTTGTTAATCTTCAAAAATTCTATTATTTTTAAATATTTTCAAAAATTTTGATTGCTAATAATAGTAAAAAAATGTGTCAATTTGATGTTGGAAATCAGAAATTTAATAAGATAATTGCATGAATTTTAAATGCATTTTGATGATTAGCATTTTTTGTCATTACATTTAATTCTTTGGATCTAAATTTTTCCTTTTAATTTTAAATTGTAACCGTTTATGTTAAATTAAAATTTTTATAGTATTTTAAACTGTCAATATTATTTCATAAAATTTTAATAATTCAAGGTTTAGTTTTAAAATTCAATGTGATTTAAATATTTTTAAGGTAAAAAAAATAAATTCAAGGTCAATTCAAGGTTTTTAAGGGTCACTGGACACTTTCATTATTCTGCCGTCCCAACAAGAGTAGCAGTAACTACATTTTGGTTAAGTCACTTATTGGTGGCAGTGGCAGTGGCAAGTAGGTGACTCATCCTAAATGCAGATACGGTTATTCTTGTTGGTGCGGCAGTATTAACACAAGAACATTTTAAGTACCTTATAATAGCAAATCTATTTTTCCAACATTTTTCAAACACTTTTGCTTCCTCGTGGAGGAAGCTTTGTAGTCCTTTAGTTTATAAAAATTTTTGAAAATGGTGAAAACAAATTTTCCTCTATATAGAAACATGTTATATGAGATCCTGATCAATTGTCCGGATGTATGTATGTGTGGATCGTTTTTGTGAACACGATATCTTTAACAGGTTTTAATGGATTTAGGTAAAATTTGGTAGGCTTATTTATCACATTAATCTCTCAAAAATGACGAGAGGATTTTTAAAAATACCCCCAAAAAAAATATTTTATCGCCTTTTTTCAAAAATTTTTTTTTTAATTGATAAAATTTTTAAATAGAAAAATTTAAGGTAATATATAATATAATCGTCTTCTTTACGTCAAGACGAATCAATTATTATATATAAAGTATAGATTTGATTGAAATTTAAAGAATTAATGAAAGTTAAAGAAATCAAAAATTCACATTTTAGCTAAAAAATGTTGTGTTTATTAAAATTCAAGTTTATATATGAAATAATTTTATTCTCTATATTAAAACAAATTGATTGGTATATATAAAATATAAATTTGATTTAAATTTTAAGAATTAATAAAAATTGAAAAATCAAAAATTCATGTTTTAGCTAAAAAATTTAGTGTTTTTTTAAATTCAAGTTAATACATAAAATAATTGAATTCTTTGCATTGAAATAAATCGATTCGTATATATAAAGTATATATTACACCCAAAATGAATTAAAATTTTCTGAATTTTTCAAAAAAATTTAATGAATTTAAATCAGTTTTTAACTCGAAATGTTTTAAATTAATTAATTGAATTAGAGAAATTCATAGCTTCCTCCACGAGGAAGCAAATTTTTTGCTTCACACAATGAGGAAGCAAAATGTTTATGAAATATAAACATAAAGGACCTCCTCCTTGTTTTTAAATTCCCTGACTTCCCTTTCCTGATAAATAACACAGGAATTAACCATTAAAATAGTAGGACTTATCTCCTTCCAAAATATTACACTACCGCAATGAGAAATAAAATAATACTTTAAAAATGTTAATAATAAAATCAAAATTCTTACCTTTAATTTACGCCTAGCGTTAAATTTCTTCAAGCAGTCTACAGTCTCTTGTCTGTGGACAACAGATGCAACACGTTCTCGTTGCTGTAATACAAAAATAAAGAAGATTATCGTTAGCGTTGAAATTTATTTCCAAGACGTGATGTGTGAAAATTGAAAGAATAATATGTAAAACACGTACGCAGATCCATGGGTGTTTGAGGGCCTCGCTGGCGGTGATCCTTTTGCTGGGGTTCACTGTGAGCATCTGATTGATGAGATTCTTTGCCTCTGGTGTGACAGTATCCCATTCTGGCGTTGGATACTAGAATGAATTTTGCAAAAAAAGGAAGAAAATTATGTAACCTCTTTAAATTTGACAAATTTCTTTGCATAATTTTACATTTATTTTTCATTATTCATGTGACCTTACGTCAAAAAAAAATTTTAGATTATATTTATGATTTTTGGAATAGCGAAAATACTTGCAAAAAATTAACTTTTAATACAAAACAATTATGTTGAATTTTCTATTATATAAAAAAAAATTCAATAAAAATTAATTTTAATTTTACCTAATTAGGAAACCTAACCTCAGATTAGTTCAAGCATTAAAACTGCCATATACAACAGTAAAATAAACTGCTGCCATCTGTAGGTCTTTAATCAAACCTTTTTAGATGTAAACAGTGTTGCGTGATAGTTAATTCGGTAAAAAAAAGCCAGTTAACTGTACACGGAGAAAAAAATTCCGGCTTTGCAGCACGGAAGTAGTTGGTGAATTTTTCGCCCGGCACATTTCTGCCCCATAAAGTATGAATTCATACGCTTTCTACGCGACGAATATCTGTACTACAAGTCCAAGTCAAATGTACTTTGGTAGCAAGAAATCGTGCTGGATTCGTAGCGACGTCACGCGAATAACGCAAGCACTATCAAGGTGCTTCTTTTCCACGAGTTCCGCCCTATTTCGGTAAGAAGAGCTTCTTGCAAATACACTTTTGTGCAAACGTTTGAGAAAATTACCTTTTTTTTACATTTCACTTTATAATATTACTTTTATTCACTTTTATCATACTATTATTATATTATTCAATAATTAAATTGATCAGACTTCTTTTACCCATTATAGTTTATTTATTAGAAACAATTTTGCAGTTATATACCATAAATGGCTTTAAATTGAATTTTTAAAATACGTTCTCTCAAACGTTTGCAGGAAAGTGTATTTGCAAGAAGCTCTTCTTACCGAAATAGGGCGGAACTCGTGGAAAAGAAGCACCTTGATAGTACTCGCGTTATTCGCGTGGCGTCGCTACGAACGCAGCACGATTTCTTGCTACCAAAGCACATCTGACTTGGACTTGTAGTACAGATATTCATCGCTACAGAATTCATACTTTACGGGGAAGAAAAGCGCCGGGTGAAAAATTCACGAACTACTTCCGTGCTACAAAGCCCTGGTTTTTTTCTCCGTATAGAATATACACACATTTTTTTGCGATTTTTCAAATTCAAAATTTTTTTTAATAATGCTAATCCATAATTTTAGTTATGAAAAAATTACTTTCCGTAAAAAAAAATGTTTTTAAATAATAATAATACAGTTAACCGTCCCAGTAAAGCCGCTTCCCCAGTTTGTGGAGCGAGCTTTTCCCCCACTACTATTGTCTTTCGAATTTTATATACTTTGATCTCAGTAGTGCCTGTATAATATGTACCAGCGAGTCGAAAGTGGGGGAATCCCAGTTCTTGGAAAAACATTGCCCCTTTCCGCGCTGACCGGGTTTACTGGGATGGTTGACTGTAATAATAATGATAATAATAATAATAATAACTTACGTCGTACGATCCTTGTTTGATCTGTTGATACAACCGATGTTGATCCTCGTCCCAAAATGGAGGATAACCGACCAATAGAATGTAAAGGATCACCCCACATGCCCAAATATCTACTGGTTTTCCATAAGGTTCCTTTTTTAAAACCTCTGGACTGAGGTAGCCGGGCGTTCCTGCGAAACCTGTTTTGCAAAAAAAGTATAATATTTGAAGCATTTTTTTTCCGATAATAATAATAATAATAATAATTTTTACCTAACCAAATCTTTGTGAAACTTTAATTTTAATAAAAAAAAAAGTTGAAAATTCTGGGCGCCCTGTCTCTATATTGAGTAGAGGGTAACGCGTGAGAATACCAATCAATACGCGTTACACTCTACTCTTCAAAATTTAATGCACAAAATTCTCCAAAATATATTCTAATTAATTTCAAATAATTTAATAAAAATTATCCAATAGATTAAATTAAAATATGAAATAATAAATAGAATAGAAATTGTTACTTACCATACCATGCTTGAACGTCACCTTGAACTTCTATAGCTAATCCAAAATCTGCTAATTTTACAGCTGCCCCCTTTGCTTTACTAGCGAGAAGCAAATTTTCAGGCTGAAATAATAAATATTAGGGATTTCAGTATTATTTCTTTGAAAACTAAGAATAAAAAATTTAACAAATAATTCTAATTAACAAAATTAATATTGTCACAATAAAGAGGACTTTAGAAAGAAAACGAATTATAGGTTATGTTTACGACAGTTTTACCTCGATTAAAAATCTCTTTTTGTTTCTGTAATATCAAAGTCAGTTTTTTCGAAACAAAACCTATAATTTTCTGTTTCTAACGCCTCTTTCTTCGTAATGCGTCACATATTTTATTAGACGTTTTATAATTTGTTATTATTATTATTATAATAACCTTAAGATCCCTGTGTACGACTCCGTTGTGATGGCAGTGGTGAACACTTTCTAGAATTTGTTGAATACAATGAGAAGCGTCAGCTTCACTGTAAAATTCTCGGGCAACAATGTCCTCAAAGAGTTCTCCGCCAGTAACTCTAAAAATTGAAAATATTTTCCAATTTTTTTAATTATACAATTCATTTATTCTAACTTTATTTATTTAAATTATTTTATTAATTAAATCCTACTTTTTAAGGATACATAAAACATAGAAACTAAACTAACATAAGTAAAAAAAATTCGATTTTTTTTGACAATTGAAATATTTGGAAATTCGGTCAGATAAAAATTCAAATTTTCATAAATTCGATCCCTTAATAATTCGAACTTTTAGAAATTCGATCTTTTGTTAATTCGAACATTTGAAAATTTCTCCAATTAGAAATTCGATCTTTTAACAATTTCTATCATTTTAAAATTCAATTTTCTGATAATTCAAGCTTTTCAATTATTGTAATTTCTAAAAATTCGATTTTTTGGCAATTCAAAACTTTAACAATTCGATTTTTTAATTATTCGAACTTTTAATAATTTGATATTGTCACGTCACCGTAACATTTTTTATAAAAATAATAATAATTAATAAATAAATATTTATATAAAATAAATTCTTTTATAAATAAATATATTTGTAAATAAATAATTGTTCTTTAATAAACAAATATTTGTAAACAAATATTTGTGGATAAACAATTGTTTATAAATAAACAAATATATTTATAAATAAACAAATATATTTATAAATAAACAAATATATAATATAATCATGTCACCGTCACATTTTTTTAATAATAAATAATAATTGTTAATAATTAATTTTAATAAAATAAATATTTTTGTAATATTAAATTATAAATAAGCGTTTATAAATAAACAAATATTTGTAAACAAATATTTGTAAATAACAAATGTATTGTTATCAGAAATAATCAATGTAATTAATATAAATCAATATGTAAAATTGTTATATTTCATAAATGTGTGATGTTCTTAATATTTAAAAAGACGATCTAAAAAAGCAGGAAATCTATTATGGAGTCACCACTACTAACAGAAAAAGCAATAAAGATTTTTCGTGTCTGTGAGGTCCCGACATTGAATCTACCCATAGAGGCGAACTGGTCCCGCTGCGAGAAATACATTGGAAAATATTACTATATAATGGGAGACCTTTCACTAACAAGGCAGTCCCAAATTATACGTAAAAAGATCATAGTATCGAGTCCCAAATTATAAGCACGGAGTTCATTATAACGAGTGTAATAAACAGTTTTTTAAAATATACATTGAAGATACACAAATGTCATCATAGTTCACAAGTGAAAATTTTACATATTCAGAAGTTTTCGTCAGCCTAAAAATACCTGTGTCAATAAGGTGATAAAACTTTTACGACTTAGAAGATATAATCTTAGTAGACCCGGTGTTCAACTAATTGAAGAGTCATTACAAAGTTTATTTAAAGGTAAATAATATGAATCTTTAAAAATAAGGATTGTTTGATTGTCTTAATAATTGAGAACATTTAACATTTTTAAATAAATAATTTTCATATTGTATTTTAATAAACATTCATTTAATAATCCTTTCCCCCACTTAGTTAATTTAACTAAGTTAAATTAAGGAATTAGATCAGGGTACAATTATAAGTTCAGCTTAGGTAAAATTAAAAATTATTTAAAATATGACATAACAATATTTTGATAATTCAAATTTCCAAATATTCCTTTTTCTTGTAATTCGAACTTTTTAAAATTCGATCAAATGGTTTTTTGACTTTATGGAATTTAAGATTTTAATAATTCGATCTTTTGCAAATTTAGGCCAAAATAAGGCAACTCGAATCCCTGCTCACGATTAACTCAGTTTAGTTAGTTAATATTTCTAAATTTCAAAATGGCGGATTCAATATGGCGACGATTTTTAAAAATCGTTCGAAATACTTTGAACTTTGTTACTCGGGGGTTTTTGGGGTCATGGATTACGAATCCAATGTCAGTTTTTTAAAATCCGCGACCTATAAACGATTTTAAAATTTTCAATCGCCATATTGGATCCGCCATTTTGAATTTTAGAAAACTGACCACAGATTCGTAATCAGCTGCCTTAAAAACTATAAAAACTTTTTTTAAATGTCCATTGTTTTTCCTGAGTATAAAAGGTTTAAAAAAAAACTATAAATTATAAAAGATTTTTCTTTACACGCCATTTTCCAATATCTGGAAAGTAATTAAAATGTAAAATTCATTGAATTGATCACGCACACTGTTAAGTAATATTAATTTTCATTCAGAATTAAAACAACCATTTTTAATTGATATCTCACATGTGAGTGATTATATTTATATATATGTATAAAAAAACAGATGAAATTAAGAAAAAATCAATTTATATTCATAAATCGATTTGCAATTTTGCCTCGGCCGGTAATCCAATTATGATTGACGTGTTCCCTCGTTGTTTCACCTGCCCTCATGCGTTTTATTCTCTACGCTCATCAAAATCGAAATGCATTTCTCTGAGAAATGACATTTTGTCGTTACAGTCAAATATTACTGCAGATGCAATTAATTGTACATTTTTTTTATTGTCAATTTACATCTTTGTTTTAAATACTATTTTCTAATAATAAATAAATGGGTTTAGAAAAATTAAAATTACAAAATTAATAAGAGAAAATTTTCTCACAAAAATATTAAAAGTGTATTAAAATAAAAAGGACAAAATTTTATGCCTAAAGATTTATAATTATATATTTTTCTTATACTTACAAGTCAAAGACGAGGTAGTGGAAGTTTTCTTCTTGTATACTATCGTGTAATCTCACTGTAACAAAAAAAAAAGAGAATACATTTTTAAAAGGTTAACAAATATCGAAAAAAAATTTTAAATAATTTTTATAAGTAAGATATATTATTTATATTTTTGATATAAATTATAACATTTATATATATATATTTTTTTTTATTATAAATTGTAAAATTTATATTTCGACGAAATTAAAATTTACTTTTTATCCTAGAACAAAATATCATTGCAATTAATTATCGTTCGTAAAATTTTGTATTTTATACATATTAAAAATTCTGCAATATATAGAAGGGAGTTAAAAATATTTAGAGTATTCGGATATTATAAAATTAATAACATAAAACTAAAATTTTCCATTTTATTTGCTAAACGATATTTTCCCCGAAACATTATGTCTCCATTAAATTGAACAGATAATTGCAGCTTGGCATTACGTACCTATATTATCGCCAAATAGGATCGCAATGTCACGATACAAGCATACAAATTCTGATTTACTGACAAATTCCTGTGTATAGTGAGATAAAAAAAAATCTATGTATACTGGAGGCTAAAATTTAATAATAATTTTTTAAAAATTTACAATATAAAAAATTAAGAATATAATACGAGCACTTGTTGTTTAATAACTCATGAAACTAAAATTTAAACCATTATTAAATAGATATATAATATTTAATATATACATGTACATAAATTTATAAATTATTCATCAATCTCTTTGTCAATTGCAGAAGCCCCATTTAGTTAATTATTCAAATATTAATGCGCTGTCATTAACTATTTGAAATTATCCAACTAATTACGAGAGGCATAACCAAAACTAATTAGATTAGAATCTTTATAACTGCAAATTTCCCCAAATAATAACAGTATTTCATACAAATGTTATGTTCCAGTTTTAAATTCAGAATTATTTTCAAGTTATGAGCCTGCATATTTTTTTGTTATAATTCATTTTTACAAAATTTCATAAAACTTATAAAATCTTCTATTATATTAAGTTAACAAATTTCCAATAGCGACAACGACAAGGAAAAATTTATTTACACTTAATTTTGAATATATACCAATAAAATTACTCTTATTTCGAAAAATTACTCAACACATTTTTTTTAAATCAAAACATTTTTATTTTCCGATTTATAATAAAAAAAAAAAAATTTTAATATTTATTTAAAATTTATTGTTGTTACGCAAATTTTTGATAAGAAAATGTCATAATTGTAAAACATTGAATTGTGACAATTTTTTTTTATGAATTATAAAATTATGAGGATATGCCTCTTAATATAATTGTTTAATGTAATTGCTTTTTGTGCCATTAAGGAGGTTCAACCCATTCACATAAGCTCAAACTAAAACGTAGTTTTTAACATTACTAAAAATATATTTAAAATTTATTACACGCAAATTCGACAGATCGACAATATTGTACAATTTTGGAAAAAAATTATTTTAAGTTAAAATATGTCGACTAAAAGTCTAGTCAAAGTAAACCATTTATGACACCCTATTATTGTATTAGTTAACCTTCTATACCTGAATATTGAAATTGTATAGTAATATTACTTGAAGTATTTGTTTATGTTTCGTTATGTCTTGTCGCCGTCAGATGGCAGAAGCATGCAGGGAGCACAATTTGTGTTGAAATATTAAATTAAAATATTAAATTTTCGACCTTAAATAAATAAATAAAAAAAGGAAAGAATTTCAAAATTCTATAATTGTGGTCTAAAAGTTAATTTTTGTTAAAATATTAAATATTTCAAAAGAAAAATAAGAAGAGAAAGGGACATAACAAAAATAAAGTCAACTGGAATTATGAATTTTTAACACTATTAACATCAGTAATATAATAAAAATTGAAATTTGTCAAAATATTAAATTAAAGTATTAAATATTTTAAAAGAAAAATAAAGAGAGAAGGTGACAATAATAACAGTTGTGTCGACTGTAAGTCTAGTCATAATAAACCATTTATGACACCCTATTGCATTAGTTGTCCTTCTATACCTGAATATTAAAATTAAATACTTGAATTAATACAAAAACGCGATTGCAAAACGAAAAGTAGGAAAGTAATATAATTATAGGTATATTACGTCCTGCCGCCGTCAGATGGCAGAAGCATGCAGGGAGCATTAAAAATTAAATATTAGAATTCTCAAAAGTAGTATATACTTTTTAGAGTAGAGTATAAATTTTTTCTTTTTTTATTTTAATTTAAAAATGTTGAAAATAATTTTTCTTTTCTAAAAAAAGGATGGAAATAAAAATAAAAAGTGGTATACAATTTATGTTTCTTTCGATCATAAATTACATAATTTTTTCAATAAAAAAATATTGTATTTTTCTTAAGAAAATTTTTATTCTAATGCTTTAAAAATTGTTAAATAATTTTTATCCCGTTTATAAATAAATATATATATATATATATATTTTAAACAAATATTTAATTTATTTTACGTTCAAATATTAAATTAAAATATTAAATATTCCAAAAAAAGTAAGAAGAGAAGGAGATGTAATAACAATAGAGTCGACTGTAAGGCAAGTCATAATAAACCATTTATGACACCCTATTGTATTAGTTGTCCTTCTATACCTGAATATTAAAATTAAATACTTGAATTTATACAAAAACGCAATTGAAAATCGAAAATTAGGAAAGTAATATAATGATTGGTACATTACGTCCTGCTGCCGTCAGATGGCAGAAGCATGCAGGGAGCATTAAAAAATAAATATTAGAGTTCTCCAAATTGATATATACTTTTTAAAATAGATTACAAATTTTTTTCATTTCTTATTTCAATTTAAAAATGTTGAAAATAATTTTTCTTTTTTAAAAAATGGCTGGAAATAAAAATAAAAAATTATATATTATAATTTTTGTTTCTTTCGATCATAAATTACCTAATTTTTCCAATGAAAAATATTATTCTAATGATTTAACAAATGTGAAATAATTTTTATTCCTTTTATAAATAAATAAATAAATAAATAAAAAAATATATATATATATATATCTTTTTAAAATAGATATTTAATTTATTTTACGTTCAAATTTTAAATTAAAATATTATATAATCTAAAAGAAAAATAAGGAGAGAAGGGAACATGACAACAATACAGTCGACTAAAAGTCTAGTCATAATAAACCATTTATTACACCCTATTGTATTAGTTGTCCTTCTATACCTGAATATTGAAATTGTATAGTAATATTACTTGAAGTATTTGTTTATGTTTCGTTATGTTCTGTCGCCGTCAGATGGCAGAAGCATGCAGGGAGCACAATTTGTGTTGAAATATTAAATTAAAATATTTAATTAATATAACAATCTTTGCAGTTTCAATTTGATTTATGTGGCGACATCTAAAATTTTTGTGTACAACTTTTGAACCTTTGTTCGTCCATATTTGTCTAAAACGGCTAATCTTACATAAGTGTAAATAAAATTTCTAAAGTATTTAGTAGAAGGACAGAGAATTTGCAATAAATAAAATTGTCAAATAATTGTTATAATATTTTCATTCCCAACTTAGCCGATCACTTTTCTTCTTATATATTTGAATTTTTTTAAAAATAAACAATTTTTAAGTTAATAAAATTAAATGAAATTGAAAATATTATAGGGCCCATTAACATAACCTTAAACTAAAAAGTAGTTTTTAACAAAACTAAAGATATATATATTTTTAAATATATTTAACATTTATCACACACAAATTCGACAGATCAAATTGTACAATTTTGGAAAACATTTATTTTGAGTTAAAATGTGTTGTTAAATAATAATTAATAAACATTTTGTATTTTTTTTTTAAATTCAGTGACCAAAATACGTTAGAATACCAAGTTTCATTATGATCGGAGGTACCCCTACTTCGGAAGTACACCCCCAATTTTTATAAGCAATGGCATATTTTTCTCTTTGAAAGATTTTCTACAATTCTGATTTTGTGTTTTTGTTAAATAATGGTTTATTTAAAAAATATAAGAAATAAAAATTTTATTTGTTTATTAACTTTTGAACAAAATATTTTTAATAAAATTCAACAAACAGAATTGTAGAAAATTTTTCAAAGAGCAAAATGAGCTACTGTTTGTAAGAATTGCATAAAAATCAGAATTGTTCACTATAACTTTTAAGAAAAAATACAAAATGTTTAGTAATTATTATTTAACAACAAATTAACTGAAAATAATTTTTTTCTAAAATTGTACAATTGGATCTGTTAAATTTGGGTGTAATAAATTTTAAATATATTTTTAGTTCTGTTAAAAACTACTTTTTAGTTTGAAGTTATGTTAATGGGTTGAACTTTCTTAACGGCACAAAAAGAAATTACATTAAACAATTATATTGGGATATGTATAACAATTATATAATACATAAAAAAATTGTCACAAATGGCGATAGCACTGGCACATTAGTAGACGCCATTTAGCAATTATAATTTGATAATTATTTATTAATATTAATATTAATATGTAATAATAAATAATTCAGTCAGACGTTAGATATGTAAGAAACAATTTTAAATAAATTAAATCCAATTTTATTTCCACTTTAGGAAACATGCTTTATGATATAATGATTGATTTGTAATCTAATGAATTTTATATAATTAAATAATAATTATCTGCCGAAGATTTATAAGAGGGGAAATTAAAAGATTTTTATCTACATAGTGAGAACAGTAGGGTTAGTTAGTATAAGTTTTAATTCCTTTTGTCCTCCCGTTAACAGCTAAAACTTCTAATCTACGACATGAGTGTAACTGCTTTTGTATCCACATTTAATGGTAACGGATTACGACGTTCGTGGCTATATAACTTGATCCCAACTCAACACAACTAAGGCTGGTGGACCAACATTACTGAATCCTAGTATTATATTATATTCCATGCATATATATAATATACAGTGCCAAACATACTTCATGTTTACTAGAACCTTAACCAGTTAATATTAGATATTCAGAAAATAGCAAATATTAATTTC